TTTTAGTCATACAAATGACAGAGAAGAATATTTGTTCAATGTAATCAGTTATTCTTAGCTAAGTTTCAAGCACAATGATTACTACCTATTCTTTGATTTTGTATAATAACATTATATCAAATATTTTTTCAAATTAGGATAATTTTATACAAATCCTAGAGTGAAATTTTAATTACTTAAAGACGAATTTTTCATTGATGAAATAATAATTTGGCATTTTTTTTTTAAATTTTATAGAATGTTTATCACAAAAAATGGCTTCATCGTAAATGATATCACAATTGATAAAATTACCAACTAAAAGAAATAATCACAGGTTAGAATATTTCATATGATTCCTAGGATGAGAATAAAAAACCTTTATACAGTTGATCATAGTTTATAATACAAACGTTTTAGAAAAAAATGATAAATAAAAACAAAACATTTCTTATATTTTACAAATTAGAATCTTTCTTTCAAATCATTTTTATAATATTTAAAATTTTCTCTATTTAGGTCCATTTGTTCCGCCAGTGATAAAGAAAGTGATCGACTAGAACTTGTAATTATGTTTCCTGGTACATTATGAATTTAAATTGATTTAAGAATAACTAACGAACAATTTTCTCACGTCGCACACAATTATTGTTTTTCATATTTGATAATTACAAGAGAAATTCATATTCTTATATAAATTAAATATTCCCATTTATTTTTATTCTGTTAATTACAATTTTATTAAGTTTATTTCTCTTAAATGATATTTATCTGAAAAGGATGTCTCTTTCTTTTTCTGTTAATAGTTAAATAGAATGCAATGAAACATGGGTTAGTATAACATACTTTGAATATTGACCACAGAAGAGCCACATTCTTGCTACAAGACAGATGGTAATTATTAGAAAATATGACTCAATAACTTACTTGTCCAAACAAAACATTTGTTGATTGAAGATTTTCATCTTCATCAATACTTTGATCATCAAGTGTTGACTAAACATATAAAGAATATTGATTGATCAATCAAACAACAAGAACGTAAGATTCATTCACTTACATCTATGGACATAATTACTTATTAGATTTTTTTTCTAGAAATATTAATTGATCCAAATAAAATTATATTGATTTCCATGGAAAATGAATATTTATTCAATACAAATTATTTTTATTATTAATTAAGTTCAATTTGCAAATGAAACCCATCTTGAAATGAATGCGCATGCAGAAAAAGGATTTCAAGTAAAAATGTACTCTTGCTCAGTCATTTCCTTGAGTTTTCATCAGAAAATCCAATAAAAAGTTTTCTAAGCGAATGATGATAGTGTTTTCAAGACTCATTTCTTTATATTTCTCTAGTTTGCCACCCATATTATCATTTAGAGAGTCCTGAAGATTTTCGTGTTCCGTAGACTGAAAGGTTTTATTTAAATAAATGGACATATTTTTTCTCAGAAAAAAACAATATCGCATAGTATTTCAGATTTTTTTTATAAAAGTGAAAAGTTCCCAAATCTGAACTAAGATTTTCAAACTAGAGTCTCGATATTTTATTTATCTTTTCATGAATATGTTTTCTTCCTATCAAAGCTCCATTGTCTATTCAGCGGCGTTCGTATATTTAACACCATAAACAAACGACATCTATTGAATTTCATATCTCATTATCTTCATTTCGGGTAAAACACACTTAGAAAGTTTTGAAAATATTTTATTTTAATCACCAAAATTTTTCCAGATAAATTCTCATTTGAAAGACATCATATTTTACGTAAAAATATCGAAATGTAATTTTCGTTTACTCTAAACGTCACAAGTTTCTAAGAACTATTATTGATTCTATAATTATTTTAGTATGTAAATTCGTCTGTTGTAATCAATGATCTATATTTGGTAACTTTACTTCATGCTTGTTTGATGCGATTATATTTCAACATAAAGTTTTATGTTGTCTCAACCAAATATAGAGTCGGTGCACATGAAGCGAACGGACATCTCATAGGTCTTCATTGTGACTCTAATATCTCTGTCATTTTTCATCGTAAAGTAATTAATTTTATATCACGAGAAAGAAAACAAAATTCTGCATCTGCTCATATAAAAAAATGTTTCGCAGCTGTAAACATAGTTGAGTAATCAGCGGTAGAAAATCAAAAATTAAAAAACGTTCGTTTTATGTGTAATGCACATAAAGCGAACGCGCTAGTAAAAACAAGCGAAAATAAAAAAAGTACAATATTTATCTATTTCTGTTTACAGAGGATGTGGGTGTGGGACAGGGTTGTCAGATCAAAAATTTAGAAATCGGATTTTCTTATAGAAAAATTCGGAAAATTTGGTAAAATTCGGAAAAAAATCTGAAGTCAATTTTGTAACATTTATGATAATAAATTAACCGCATATATATTAAAAGAATGTTGTCCACATCACTCATAATTTATTTTTATACAATTTATAGAAAAAAAAAGTTAAAATGTTATTTCACTATTAAAATCAATTGTTTTCTAGAAAATATAGACATTCAAGGAAAAACAACATAAAGTTTACATATTATATAAATATATATATACAGTTCAAAACACTTCTATAAGATAAAAATATGCAATATTGACTACAAATACGTTTTTTTGTTTCATACTTATCATTTGTTGTTATGGCTTTTAATAGATCTTGTTGAGATATTATAGATTTGCAACAGACACCGAAGGGACGGGAGAAGAAAAATAGAAGTAGGGCGGGACGGGACACGGGACACGGGACAAAAGGTCGCGGGATGCGGGATAGGCGGAACTCAGTGCTTCTCCCGCTTACTTTCATTAATGGAACAAAACACAAAAATGACTGTTCATGTTGTGCAGCACAATAGCGATCGATTTTATGTCACAAGAGTAGAAGAATGGTTATCAAAGCCCGGTTGACTATTGTGTGAACAGACATTGAGACAGAAAAAGAACAATATTGACAGGCAATTTGAATTGAATGAGATGAATGATGACCGAAGAATGAGATAACGATCATAATATAATTCGTCTAACATGGAAAATATAATAAAGTTAGGCATGTATACATTTATTCATTCTGTTTCATTTCGTCACAATTGTTACTTTCGAAAGTTGTTCATTTCAATTCGTCTTTACACATGGATTCTACGCCGAGAAAAGTCGATGGTCATAGTTATTCTCCATGCTCACGTATTATTTCGTCTTCATCGAGAATTGATCTCGCCTCTCCTACTTCAACACCGTCAACACTCATTTGTACTTCAAGTCATGCGGTTTATTCTTGTGTACAGATTGAAAATCTCAAGAAAGAGAAAGATCGTCTTATCGTTATAAACAATACAAATACAAAACTGACGTCTACATGTTGGCAAGTATTTGGATTTCCGGCACTTATTGATTCTAATGGTGGTCCTCCAGAACGTATTGACACATTTGTTACTTGCTGGAAGTGTTGCAAGACTTACTCATTCACATCCAACAGTACTCACTTTCTTCTCTATCATCTATGTAACTCGTCTGAATCTACCGATGGATCAAACACACTTGCTTCATGCTTTCTTCGCCTTCGGTTTTACAACGATATCTAAACGCTGGTTACTTTTGGTGAAAACATGCTCGCGGGATTAGCCGGGATGGGACTGAAAAAATTTTAGTGGGACGCGGGACGGGACGGGAGTGAAAATATCTCGGCGGGACACAGCCTTTGAACCACTCTCTGCGGGCCTTCCTGGGACAGTTTTTGATCGCCCCGCCGGTCTCTGATCTGAGAGCAGTAGAGTAGCCAATCATTATAGAAGAAAAGAGATGGCGCATTAACTATAACATTTTAGTAAATTGCAAGAAAAAAAGTGAAATCTAGAAAATGTTAAAATTCGGAAAAGAATTCTAATTCGGAAGGATTCGGAAATTCGGAAGACTTTCGGAAAAAAAGTCAAAATTCAGAATTTTTCCTGTCATTTCGGAAGATCTGGTAACCCTGGTGTTGGGTGTGGGTGTGAGCGGGTGGGTGTCGATGTATCTTGTTCTGATGTGAATCGACACCCATACCCACCCACACCCAATTATTAATGAGAAAAATCTTGTATTTAGAAAGTTTCATATCATCTTTTATTCAAAGACTAGCTCATATTTAAATATAGAATATTCAGGATATGGGTGTTGCTAAAGAGATAATCTACACCAGAGATGCCAACAGGCCACTTTTTTCCGGCCTGGCCTGACCTAGCCTACAGGCCAGGCCAAAAATCAAAGAGTGGCCTGCGGCCTGGCCTGGCCTGACCTGCAGGCCAAACCAGGCCAATTGATGTTTATGATTTTTCAAATCCATTAAATTCTATAACTCTGCATTAATGCATGCTTCCAATTTCAATTATTTATTCAATTTATTTTCATGAAGATAATGAAATAACAAGTTTTTGCACAAAATAGCAAATTAAAACAAAGAGACAATCATCTTAAATATTTTTCATACAAGAAAGACTTGAATTTACGAGATTTTTTGATGATATTAATACTTCTTCACATAATCGAAAGATATTTAAGCATAATAACAAAAACAACATATGATCCCGGATACAACGAAGAATTAAAAAAATATATAAATCCAAAAATAGACCAATATGAGCCAACAGGAGATGATTTATTATTATCAACAATATCGTATTGTTGTTTTTTATGTTTTAATAAATAACATTCGTTCACTAGAATATGATAACGAATTTGACGAAGAAGATGATGAAACATTTGTATATGAAGAAAAAGAAAATGTTGAAACATTTGTATTTGATGATGTAGTAGTAGATGAAGCATGAGAGGTGGATAAAATCTGAATATCATCAATTGGCATTGTTGTTGAAATAGATGAAGTAGAAGATGTTGATAAATGATGAATATGTTCCGTTGACATTGTTTATTTAAGTTGTTGCCTATAAAACAAAATTGTAAAAAGAAATGTGTTTTGTCTTTCAATTAAACAAAATCATTGTTTACTTTATTTTCGCTGAAATAAATCAACCATAAATATTGTCTCCTCTCCTTTATTCATTCAATTCGATCACTTTTTGTGGTCTATACTATTCACCAATTATAAATGACAAAGTTAAAAGTGAACAAAATCATCAACTTGTGGTGCTATCTCATGTTTCAAGATGATTACTAGAGAAATGAATATCATATCGTAGCCAGGCCATCAATTTTGGCCTGTTCTGGCCTGATATCCAGACCGGATATTAAATGGACGGATCAGGCCAGGCCAAAATTTTAAAATTCAGCCTGGTCAGTTGGTCTGACCTGGCAGACTACCCGACGTCTGCCAGGCAGCAGGCCAGGCCAGTAGCTCTGATCCACACCGGCACCCAGTTGGCAGTCATTTGTAGGTTGATAACATTAAAATCATTTATTGAATTTTGATTAGAATATGTATCAATTTACATACATTCTAGGAGATTCAATCATAATTCCCTAAGGGGTCTTTCAGAAATCACGTGATCACTTTTTTGGCCATTTTCGACC